AAAAAAATCGTAGAGGACCCTCAAAAGTGTCCACGGAGAGAGAAAGAGAGAGAGAGAGAGAGAGAGAGAACAACGGAATCTTTTTTTATTATCATTGGATAGTAATACGTTTTGTCCACAAATTAATTAATACATGGTTGCCACTAGTTCTAGTCTCCATGCTCTGATTTCATATTTAGAGATTTGCTTATCCATTCCTAACACCTCATATATGATTGCCACCTTTAGTACGTTTCAGCAATTTAACAAACTATGTACTCAACGACTTGATAAGTAAGGCTTTATTACATAAAAATTATCATCACAATAATTAATATCTAAATTTATTAGAAGACTCTAAACAATTAGTTCTTTTACTTGGGATTAAAAACTCTACAATTTTTCCTAATTTCTCCTGCATTTCCAACAAGAACCTGGAGACTCCCCATCTTTAATATAGCAGTTGCAAAGCTCTGACTGAATCTCACACCATTTGATGCAAATCCAGAAACAATACCAGTCGTAGAGTTATCTGAAGCAAGCTCCTGGTCGATCTGCAAGATACCTCTCTTCAAAAGAAGCTGATTGTAGTACTGGTTATCAAAAGTAGAAGATGTATTTTGGTCCAGAAATGTTGTTGGGTTTTTGCCAGCTGCACAAAGTTTGCTCAGCTTGGCAACCAAAGCTGGATCCATAGAAGGATCAGGAGACCCTGTGCCTTGAAAATCTGAAAGCCTATCTTCGAAAAAATTACAGTGCACTAAACCAACCGTGTGTGCACCCAAAAGAGTGACCATGTCATTTAGGGTCAACCCTTTGGCTGTGAAAGACTGCAACGCCTCAGACACGGAGAACGTTGGACCGGGCAAGTTAACGTCGTCAGGATTTGAAACAAGGCCATCGCGCCTTCCGGTGGGAGCAGCGTAGCTTTGCCCTCCCGCAAGAACAACTGAATCTCGGGTTGCGAGGGTTATGATATCTGCACAGGATACAGTTGAAGGGCATGCTGCCTCTAGGCTTTTCTTGGCCTCGTCAATAAGCTCAAATCCTCGCACAGTCAAGTTTGGTCCTGCCGATTTTTCAGATGGCTTCTTCGGTGTCGAATCTATAAGTATGGAGGCATCACATCCCTGCAATACATATAAAGCTCATTAAATTAACTCATTAATTATACACACACACACACATATTATATATATCAACTTAACCATATATAAGAATTAAAGTAGCGTACTCTGACAAAGCAGTCATGAAAATGCATGCGAAGCAAACCGCCAGTTATGGATGAATCAGTTGCGAACTGTTTTTGCACGACTTTTTGTATTATTGATTCAGCTTGTGGGCAGGTAGCATTGTAGAAACCAACCCGCAGGTCAGCCAGTACAAGAGGAAGAAGCAAGAAGAAGGCCAGAAATGAATACTCAATGATCTTCATCTCAACTTCTCAATTATATATATATAGTCTGAATAATAGTGGATAGTTGAGTTGATGAAAAGAAGAGGTTTGTGTTTGTGGAAATGGATAAGGAGTTTAGGAAAGTATTTATAGAGGGAGAGATGGGGGAGAGATGGGCTGGAGTACGTGAAAAAAATAGCTGGAGTGCGAGAAAGGTCAAAGGCAGCCATATGACTACGCAAAAATAAAGTATGAGAACAAGGATTTTGAAGAATATTTTGGATGCACATGCATATGCTAAAATTTGCGCGTTGAATTTCTGCTCCTGCGTTGAATAGGCAAAAGTAATGTACTCTTTTTTTTTTCCGCGCAAGGACAAACACGGATGACAAGGCAAATATGAAATGACAAAATACTTTATATTTCTGCATTACTACTCGATAAAATCTGAAGAATCGAGGATGGCATATAGCATCCAAGTTGCTATAATAAACCAAAATGGGTACAATATTTATCTCACGTGTTTCTTTTCCTACATATAGTTCTATTTATCCATATAATTTCCTCATAGATAAGGTTGTATGGCAAATATTTTGTCGATTGGGTTGTTAAAGAGGATATGCACGTAAGCCTTGTCGATATAATGAAGCCTAACTAGTCTATAGACGGTATGTTCGTGTGTATTTGGGAAACCAAAGATTAACTCCTATAATTCGATAAATTATAACAAAATAGTGGTTGCCACGGTAGTGGAATGATAGTGATGATTTTGAAGGATAAGGATGCTTTCTGGCTAAACATTAGAAAACATGATAGTGAAGTTTGTCGAGACGTGACCAAAACTATTTTAGAACTCCATATGGATGGTTTAGCAATCGCCTTATTTTATTTTTGACCTAAGTCAATAATTGTTGAACATTAGGTCATCCAAAGACAGAGAACAGTGAACAAATTGGTAATAATTCATCATAAACAATTTAAGACAATTGGATTAAGGACATTGACTTTCTCATCATGCAACTAAGACGTTTCGAATTGAAAATAAAAATAATAATGCAAAGTGTAGTGTTTAATATTGGAACTTGGAATCCGTCGTCAAAAAGTCTTCAGCAAACAGGCCTGCACGTTCAATACAGGCGCCACAATATGTTCCCAGCTTTTATGCAAATAATTGATTACTTCCAATCACATAATATTTTTCATATCAAATTTGGATTGTGGGTTCCATTATTCCAATAGAAATCTAGGGGCGTCTTTTGGCTTTTGGTTTTGGGCAATATCGATACCTTCGATTTTTTGGTGGAAACTCTCTTTCAGAACTCTTAAGGCTCATTGTCATTTGGCATCCTTTTTATTTTTTTTCATTTTAAAATGAAAGATAGAGAGGAAATATATGGGAGAAAAGATAGAGAAATAAAGGAGAAGGGTGGGAGACAAAATGCGTACGGTACCCAAAAATGACAACTAAAATTACCATTTCAAATAGCTTTTCCAAGCTTTTATTTCACCCACTCTCTTTCATTTCTCTTATGCTAGTCTCACTGCACACACTGCGGCACAAAACATTTTGTTAGAAATTAAGGCTTAATTGAAGGAAGACTTTAGATTGAAGTTAACGTTGTGTAGTTATCTTACTTGGACAGCAATTCTTTTCCTTTTCTATGTAATTACCTTAGACATAGGATCCGGAGATTTCTTTCAAATATGCCATAACAAACGATGACGCAAACCACACATGAACCAGCATCTTATAATCGTGAGCCCTAAAAAGCAACTTTAATGCTAATTTATATGGTCAACCAGGAAACTCATCCAGTAATTTCTCCATCTCTTGTATTACTTTCATCTTGGTCTCTCATCCATTCTTCTTCTCATATATTTTCTCTATCTTTTAGCTGGAAAAAAAGTAAGAATGAAAGATGAAAATTTTACGAAACATGTCTTTAAACATTATAAGAGTTAATTATATATATATATATCCTTAGGCGTGTTGCCTAAGGATAATTCATGTTAGGCTTATCCTCTCAAGCCTTGTCTTGTCTAGCCTAAGCCAAAACCTTAGGCCATCTCCAAGTGGTGAGGGTGCAATATATGGACTATAGATGTGAACCTTCATACTAGCCACATGATTCATCTGAATAGTAGCTTCACTTAAATTTAATGGAATGATCATGTGTCTAATAGAAAGGTCCACATGAGAGGTCCATATATGGCACCCTCACTATAGAATTTCATATATCCTCAAATATAACCCAAAATCCCCCAAACTCATCTCCAATGGGCTACACAAAGGGCCATTCCTAAAAATCAGGCCACATGTGGCCCTTTGCCCAACCCAGGCTAAATAATTGGATGGGCCCAATTGACATCAGCTAGCTATATTTATTTTTAAATCTGGAAAAAAAAAAAAAAAAGATATTTTTTATTCCTAATTTTTTTTTGTATAAATACGTACTTCTTCATCATTTTACATATTATCCTTCCTCAATTTCATTCTTTTACATAATTTCTCACACTCTCTTCATTCTTTTACAAACTATCCTTCATCTTTGTTGCTGAAGACAGTTAAAATGTAGCTTGACACTATTTTTTATAAAATCATTTATTAGAGGGCTAAATGTAGTACGGGACTAAATATAGCCCTCCGCACCTAGAGATGGCCTTACAGGCATCAGGGCTCATACTGGACTAACTTCTCCATGGGCTTATGCCTAGCAGAAGGCCTTGCAAGGCTTTCGTGGGCGGTTTGGGCTCAATCTCAACTGCCTGCCCAGAATTGGGGCAGTTTTGGGGCAGAGGAAGAGACCTCTACCAGCTTTGGGGCAATAATCTCAACTGCCTTCATTAAATGCTTGAATAGATGCTCCTCATCTTCTCCTGCAAGTGCAATTTGGATTGTTGGATTGTTTTTTCCGTACATGTGTCGCTTTGTTATTGGCATCCAATTATTTGCTCCCACGATTCCGTAAAGCTTACAAAATCATTACATTGTTGCAAAATTGTCCTACAAACCGTAAAAAAAAATTCAAGAAAGGAAGGTGACATATGGTTCTAATGCGAAATTATCCAATCACTAATTTCAATTATAGAAGGTGAAATTTGGATTGCTGGACTGTTTTTTTCATACATGTGTCGCTTTGTCATTGGCATCCAATTATTTGCTCCCATGATTCCGTAAAGCTTACAAAATCATTACATTGTTGCCAAATTTTCCTACAAACCGTAAAAACAAATTCAAGAAAGGAAGGTGACATATGGTTCCAATGCGAAATTATCCAATCACTAATTTCAATTATAGAAGGTGGAGGTTTTAAACAAAAAACATTAGTAAGATTAGACCAAATTTGACTATAATACTGGCACGAAGAAAAATGTGTATTTGACTAAAAAAAATTAAGAAAAAATTTGTAAAAGTTTCAGAATAAGAATTACACAAAGACAAAGATTTAAAATGTTAGTCAAATGGGAAAGTGGTTTTGTTTACCTTTTTATATTTGAGCTTGTTGAAAGTTAAGTAAAATTCCTCACTGACCTTTTGACGATTAATGATATCGAAAATCAACTTTCTTTTATGTGAGTGTGTCATTGTTAGCAATTAGAACTCTTAACAAATTTGAATGACTTTATTATATACTTGCGCCCCCAAGTAATAGACTTTAAACAAATGATTATGATTTTGGGTGGGGAAACCTCTCAAGAGAGTTCTTTTCTATGCCTCAGGCAGGTGAGGACTTCACAATTTATCTAGATAAAAATGTTAAGTAAAGCAAAATACACGAATATATGAAAGATATAACAAACTAATCCAAGCAGAACTGCCTGAAATACAAAGCATAAAATGAATTGCTAACTCTGGATAGGCCTTAGAGTTTTAGACTTTGACTTTTGCTTAAAAATACAATCGCAACGATGATTTAAGATCGGGCTAGACTGGGTCTCTTTGGGCTGGACTGGATGTTTCTGCACTAGAATTGCATGTCAGCAACTTGAACTAATAGAGATTAGCTGGAAATCGATACCAATGTTGAGATTGGCAAAGCTATAAACAAGTTGAGCCAGGTGGAGGCTAGAGAAGTGAGTAGAACTGCAGGTTGGTACCTGTTCTGGCTGATTTTGAGTGATCTGGTAGCTTTCTAGACAATTTTAAGACATTAAGGTATCTTTGTAAATTTTGTTGAGGTTTTCATATGATTAAATAATTGACTTCTGCTTGCTTTATCTAATTTGCAGAACCAAATTTGTAAGGGAAATTAATCTCCTTTGAGTTCTGATTGGAATACCTTGTCTAGATTGCAAAAGAAATCATGTTTTCCCTTTGGTTGTCTGAGCTTTTCTTTGAGCTGGATTGCTTCCTGAAAGAGATTGCTAGCTTGCTTTTGGTTGTTGCCAAATCGTATGATCTTTGGTCAGTTCTGAACTGATTGTTTATATTGAGTTTTTGTTTGATTGGTTGGTTGGTTGGGTGTCCTTGTTCCAGTCCAGGCACTCTTGTATTTATTGGAGAAAATGTGATGATGAATAGTCCCGGATATTTTCGATTTTGGACTAATCCCTCATCATGCACAAGTGGTAAAAGATTGTCAGCCAGTTGCGTTGATGATTTTTGGCTCTTTGCTCATTAATGCTCCTAAATGTCTCCTGATCGTTCCTTTTGCAAAACACTTAACTAAGTGAACAATAATACTCATATTTTTCCAGCGTTGTTTCCATAAATACAAATATCCTAGTAGTAGAAAAAATCCAGCAATCTTGCAATAAATAACCGTGATTTCCAACTAAAGCAAGTCTGGCTTCACTTTCCAACTTTCACGGTCATCAAATTTATTTGGAGTCTAGTTACCAACGGTGAGGAGTCATTTTGACATACCTTAATAGCTAAGAAATTATGAACTTGGGCTAAAACTAATTCAAATAATTTGATTTTTGTTATATAACTAAGAGAATTTGTAGAGAGAAATGACGAGGAAAGGAAGACAATAGAAATTGTTCAATCAACTTGTATGTCTCATCTTGATAAGACCTCTTATTTATAAGCTTATAATGATAAGAAGAGATTAACAACTCATAAATTATAAGCCCATAACTATGTTATTTAGTGTATAGGTTACATAGAATTAGAAAAGGTGAATACTAAGAGGTATGGTGGTCATCCACCAACTCATGCATTTACAACACTCCCCCTTGGATGTCCACCATACAATGACATAGTTGCCT